AGCATTCCCAGGCTCGCTGCGATCGGACCCAGAATTTACATCATCGCTAGAAATTCTATGCTGAGATTCGATTCTTGGACTCGGAGTGTTGTTGCTAGATCTCCCATGATTTTCCCCCGTAGGAAGTTCGCCAGCGCGGTGCTCTTCGATAAAATTTATGTCGCCGGCGGTGGTCGTTCCGAAGCTGCCTCGGCAGTGGAGGAATACGATCCTAAAATTGACACCTGGCGAGTAGTGTCTAACGCGCCGAGGAGGCGGTACGGGTGTATAGGCGCAGCGGTAGACGGAATCTTTTATGTGATCGGCGGATTAAAAATCGGCGGCGAGTGTGGAAACGATTCGTCGCGTGCTGCAGCCACCGGACTTGAGGCAAACATGTATGCTAGTTCGATGGATTTGTACGATGTGGAATCGCGCGCGTGGTTACGAAGCAGGGGGGTTCCTGGTGGTGGGTGTGTGGTGGCGGCGTGCGCTGCCGGAGGATACGTGTATATTCTAGCAAGTCATGCAGTAGAACTTTCCTTCTGGAGATTCGACGCGCGGAGAAAATACTGCGGTGGCAATGACGGTGGCGGCGGTGGCAGCGGCGGATTTGGAGAGTGGTGCAGAATAAGAAGCCCTCCAATGCCGACTCAAATAAAGCTAGACAGTACAGTGAGATTTAGCTTTGTTGGGGTGGGAAGTAAGGTGGTGTTGGTGCAGGTAGTTGGGTGCATTGACGACGTGTTGCGGAGGAGCGGGAGGAGCGAGAGAGGTATGAAGGAAGGACTAGTGCTGGTGTATGATAGTGTCGGTGGAGAGTGGAGGAGAGCGGCTGATCTGCCTGAAGTGATACGACGCGCCGCCTGTGTGAGTGTGGAATGCTAATGAGGTGGGGGAAGAGGAGGGCAGGGATTTTATTATTATTATTTTAGTGGATGGTGTAGTATTTGAAGCAGACAAAAATGATGTTTGTAACGTAACATGAAGAAAAAGCCGTATCTCTGGGTAGATAACGCAGATGAGTCAAATTATGTTTATTAAATACAACTACTTGAGTATCCCCACATCGGGGATACATTGTTTAGTAGATTTTAAATCTCCAAAAGTTACCATCGGGATAGCTGGTAGCGGAGAAACAAATGTTGGGAAGAAATTTTTTTAATGAGATTTGATT